CAAACACACACACACAAACAACAAACACACACACACACACACACACACACACACACACACACACACACACACACACACACACACACACACACACACACACACACACACACACCACCCACCCACCCACCCACCCACCCACCCACCCACCCACCCACCCACCCACCCACCCACCCACCCACCCACCCACGCACGCACGCACGCACGCACGCACGCACGCACGCACGCACGCACGCACGCACGCACGCACGCACGCACCCCACCCACCCACCCACCCACCCACCCACCCACGCACGCACGCACGCACGCACGCACTCTCGCATGGAAAGGATTTGCGGGTGAGTCTAGTGGAAACTGAACACTCCAAGCTTCAAACCAGGATCCCCCTTGATGAAACCCCGCACCGTGTCGCGGAACCTTGGCGCTGCATATTGTCGGACAAGTGCACATCTTAGCACCGGGTCATTTCTCTTTTGGAATTGAGACTTACCTGCTCTGTTGACATGCCAGTGTCTTGCACAGCACGTGAGAGCCAGCGAGGCCATCCATTAAAGTTCAAACAAAGACATCCATTGTCTTCAAACCATGAGCGATGGACAAACGAACATCTGTCGGCATTCTCAGCTCTTAAAAGCATCCTGAATCGACGAACCCGAAACTGGGCTCGGCGCTTGCCATTCCATTCCGCCCATCGAGGCTCTCCGCAAGATGGAAATTGGCCCACCAAATATCCTCAGACCCGACACCAGACCTCGACAAACGGCCACGAAGCAAAGCTCGGGCGAGTTGCCATCTGGCCAGGCACAGTCCCAGGGCTCAGCGATCAGCTTCACATCTTTCATGCAGGGATCCTGCACCAGGCGCTTGATGAAGGGCGGCTCCTGCGCGCCACGAGCGCGCCACTCGTGCGCCACGAGCCGAGATCTCACGCGCCACGAGCCGCTTGCAACAGCACAGGCGTGCGGGCAGTCCGGCATGCACTGGCCATCGCCTCAGCCCATGGCACTCAGCAACTGTGAATCCGGGAACGATGAAAGGGCTTCACACGATTCGATTCCTGACCTCCACAAGCAAAAGACGGACCCGGCCACCTGTCCCAACGCCAAGATGCTTCCACGTGTCAGGGATGAAGCCAGGTCAAAGCGGAATCCGTCCACCTGTTTCTATGGAGGGTCATCATAGAATGGCTGACTGACCACACCAGAAGGCGAAGGTGAATCTGAGGGAACTGATTGGGGCTCAAAACAAAAGTCTGGGAGACGAAAGCGCATTAGGCTAAGGAGTTTGGATTGGTTGGATGTAGGGTAGGTTGAGAATGGCTTGAGAAGATTCTTAACATGTGGTTAATCGGTTAGGGAAGATTGGATGCATGAGGGTAGATGTTACTTTGGGCAAGTTCAGGGGTGAATTCAGGTGGGGATGCGGTTAGACTTGGGGCTTGGCTTTGGCGGATTCAGAGTCGAGCATGGGTTTAGGAAGGCTAAAGGATGGCTTTGAGACAAACAAATGCCTTTATGAATCCACCTGAGCCTTGCCTAAACCAATCCCGCCTTGAAACAACCCGAGACCGATTCTGAGCACCCCAATCTACCTGAAGCAAGGGATCTTCCCAAATCTTCGATTCTCAAGCCAACCCTACAAACCGCATGTTTTTCCTTGAAACGCCTCAAAACAACTTATAGTGACCCGTTGCCAAGGCAGGTTGATGTCGCGGGGGAGGGTCTGCATAAATCTTTGAGCACGGCTGGGTTTGCGTCCGGCTCACAAAACTGACCAAGGCGTTGAACATCCCTTCCCCAATGTTTTTATTTTCTTTTTTCACTGAGAAGTTCTTCTGATACTATCACCCCAAGGTATCGGCTTTGCTCCTTGTTCTCGATTCTTTTGGGTGCCGGAATTGGCCAAGAGGTCGAGAAGTTGACTTCTAGGTAGGCAAAACAGCTCGCCCCATGTTTTGGAGGACCTGTTCTGATTTGCACCATGCCGAGTCCCCCGAGTCCCCCGAGTCCCCCGAGTCCCCCGAGTCCCCCGAGTCCCCCGAGTCCCCTGAGTCCCCCTGAGTCCCCTGAGTCCCTTGCATGCATGTCCAATGCCCAGTAGCGCAAGCACTCCAAGATCCACTCTGAACAGTTGGGGTTGTTGGCATTCCTTGGACGTGCAATCTGCCCTGCCCAGCAAGCTCAAGTTGCGCGTGTTGCTTTCTTCAGCCAAGTTGCACGGTATTGCCGCAGCCAGTGTAGTTTGTGTGGTAGCCGTTCGACATGAGATAATAGTGTTCTGCAGCATTGTTGCCATGTTACGGTCTCTGTCATGCGCCGCAAAACAAACAACAGAATACATGGACACCGGCACAGCCATCGCAAAACCGCAAGCTGCCAAGACACCCACCGCCACCTTTGCGAGGCAATTCCAGTTGTTGATTCCCCAAGCACCCTCGCCGGTGTGGTTGAAGACCACATCCAGGATCACCTGCAAAACTTCTGGCAAAACTGGTCGAATCTCAGCATCAGAATACCAAAGCTTGTGTGCACGGCGTGCCGCCTCGATTCCATGCCGGTGGAGCTCACGGACAAGAGTCTTGAACTCCACCTGAGATTTTTTCAGAATTCACATCAAAAGAGGACCCAAAAAGTCGCGGCTCGGCTCGGGATTTCCGCTTAGACGCTATGGCAGCCCAGGACTCTGGGCCGGCGGCAAAGCGCTGCATCGGCACGAAATAGGCGCCTGAGAGAGTCCGTGGCCGCGCCATGCGCCAGCCATGCGGGCCAGCCATTTGGGCCAGGATCCGTTTGGATGCCAGGGCACAGGTCTGGTAACCCCAGTACTGACAAAGATCTTCCCCCGTGCCCGGGTGCTTCAGCGGCACCACAGTCTCATCAAACTCTGTGATGGGCAGCAGCTCAACACCTCGCATCTATGCTATGCAGATTGCATCTACATCTGCTTGCTCTGTGGGCTCCCACAGTTGATGCCCAAGTTCAACAAGTGGGGGATCTTTTCCTCGGTCCCATTCCCGTACCCGACTGTCGAGTCGACCCGACCGCTCGACACGCTTGAGCCTCGCCAAGGCTCCAGAAAGCCCAGGAAGGTGCCCGGCTTGCTGACTCCGCTGTCCTTGTTCCTGGTAAAGCTACGCACGTGTGCCTGGCACGGGGCCCAGCGGCGTAACCGCACGAAGCATGCGAGGCCTGGCCTCGTAGATGACGAGCTCTTGCAAAGCATAGCCAGGAGAGGTCACTCCTGGCAACGAATTGCAGCCGCCGAATCCGAGCGACGAGTTTGCGCCTTGCCAGTCAAAGCAGTCCACTGCCCGGAAATCTGGCACCACCGACCATGGGGCATACCTCTCTCACTCTGACACATGCGACACCAGCATTGAACACGCGCAGATTCATCCATTGCTCCATGCCGTTTTTTTTTGTGAAGCGCCCCATGCTATCGTTTCACGGCGCAGCCGAGATGCTTGATGCCCTCGCCTCGGCGATTCCATGCCGCCACACCTTGGGACTCCCAATTGCGCAAGGCACAAACCAGCACATGATGCGCAATGCAAAGCAAGAATTCAGATTTGGGGAAAGCACCGAACCGGCGACACAAGCGAAAGCGTTTCGAGAGAGCGCCTCCAGAGGACAAGCAGCGGGAGCAGGGATCCAGCACGGGTTTCTCGGTGGGACGGCCATCACGGCCCAACTCCTCCGGGTCGACGTGCCAGCCGTAGCGTAGGCCCTCCACAGAAAAAGTCGTCACAACCTGAGACAACCAACGACTCTGAAACTCGCCGTGTCGAACTTCGCATAATTCTCCCGTTTTCCGAACAGAAGGGGTTGTGAGCGGGCCTGAATGTGCCAGGTGTTACCCGTGCGGTGCGCCGCAGGCTGCAGCTCGAGCTGGAGGAACTTGCCTTTCTCGCCCGCGTAGGTGATGCCCTCCTGGCGCAGCCCCACCGAGGCACAGCACGCACCTCACGAGTGCCGAGAGTGATCCAAAACAATCATTTCTGTTCGATGTGGAGTCAGCGAGCACGCTGGACTCGGGCAAAGCGCATATACTTTGGGTGAACTCTGGCAAGACTAACATCTCGTCTTGAGGCCAACAGTCGGATCTCCTGTCCGCTGGGAACTTCAAGGACAAACCAGACAGCCTGACAACAGATGGCTACATTTGCACCAACTCTTGAAGCTTCGCCTGCGAGTCCGGCGCCAGGATGCTGAAGTTCAGTCCTGACGCTGCTTCACTATGGAATGTCCAAAGATGTCCAAAGCTTGACAGTGCGGTAAGGCAATGTGAAGTTGTGAAGCCCTTCTCCTTTCTTGGCCTGACTGCATCCATATGGCAAAGGCTTTCCCTTGCCAACTCGCACCTGCACGCGCACACTAAAAGTGACACACACACACATATATATATATATATATATATACCACCAATGGATGTGTGTGCTAAAAAACATGGCGCAAGGGGGGAGCCTTTGGCACGGATTTCTGGAGTGTTCCCAGCTTCTTATCAGCAGGAATTGGCGGCGCCATGGCTCGCGAGTGTGACAGGCCAGACGGCCCCGGATTTGGTCGGAACTCGGCGGCAGTTGGCCAACGTGATTCCCCACGTGGAAATTGGGCACTCCAAACGCTTTCAACCCAGCGAAGCCGCACTTTTTGCTCCCAACTTTGTGCAGGATCAAGTTGCCAGGTCATGAGAACCACCTCCTTCGTGGCACTCAATGCTCAAGCCAGTGCTGCCTGAGGCAGACATGGCCTAATGCACACCGATGTCCGCCTTGCCAGAGCGCTCAAACCACATGTTTTGCACCTTTGGCCAACGCTAAGAGGCGCTGTTCTTTCTTTTTTTCCCCCAATCATTTTCTGAGCTGTGGCAGGCCGTCCAGCTGTGCTTTCTGCGGGCAGGTGAGGTGAAAGAGCTGCCAGAGCTTTGACAAACTGACCCGCCATCGGAAAACAAGGCTCATTGAGAGTTTGTCGGCAGGCTCAGGCCAGTTTGGCTGGAGCACCCTTCGGCATTTTGCCAAAAGCGATAAGCAGCGTTTGGGCGAACACCAGGCATAAAGCCATTTCTGTCAACCTATTCCAGCCTGCTGCCTTGCGACCTGGCAAGACCAAGTGCAAAGCAAAAAACGTTCCAGTCAAAAGCTGGGCGCTGCGCCCAAAACTTTGGGAGTCTCAAAGCCGCTCCCACCTCAACGGAGGCCGCTGGCGCGTAGGTCCTAGCTTTGCTCAGCTCGCGGATGGCATGGCACCGGTCTGAGGAAGCGGCCACTTCCGCGTGCCGAAGCTTTTGCTCCTGAAACATGCGACCGGTTTTGTTTCCACTTGGGAGTTTGCATCACGAAACCTCGCATTCGCTTCGCCGTCCTGTTCTTCCACCTTGCACTGCAGCTGTCGGACCACTTTCTCCAAGGTCCTCATTTGCCTCGTCGCTCGCGGGCGAGCAAAGCGCAAGACTCCCATCTGAGTCCCCGGCTCGCGCATCAGCTCGTTCTCTTCGATGAGCTTGTCTGACCTGAGTCGCGACTTCAACGAAACTTGGAATGCAAATAAGTCATGTCTCCGTGGTTCATGGATTCTGTCTGAGCGCAAGGAAAGGCTGGAACCAAGAACAAACTGTGACACAGTTAGTTAGACTGTGAACAAAGGCCAGAACTAAGCTTGCCCCAGTCTGTTTTGCTGGGACAAGTGCGTCATCGGTTTGGACTTTTGCAATGCCGGGCTAACGCGCGACGTGTGCCCAGTGAAGCTGCAGTATCTCACGCCCTCTGTTGCAGGCAACATCGCTCTCACGTCATTTCGCTAGTGCAATAGGACTCGAGGGCAGTGCTAAACAAACCCATCTGACATGGATCGTCATTTTTCGTTGCAATCTGAAAGGACATTGGCATGAAGCAAAACTCAACACTTCCGCAAATAACAACCCAAGCATAGCGAGACCCTTTCAAGGAATTTTGTGGCAAGCCGGGCGCCACCGGGCTCCGGGGCTTGTTCTTGTAGAACTCGCAGTCCACCGCCAAATGCGCCGGAGAGGCAACGTCCTCCCCCTCCAGGGCCGGAGCAGCCGGCAGCATGATTGGGCTTGCGAAGCTGGGGCTGGCCACCGTGCCGTCCTCAACCGTCTGCTACCCAAAATTGCAAGGAAGACATGTTGACTGAAGTCGGTACGTTTTGCGACAACTGATCTCTGAAGATAAACGCGTCCTTTGATTTGAAACAAAAGTTGTGCGCCACAAGCCTCCGTGGGACAGCTGGAAACGATAGCACATCTGCGAAGCTCCTGCGGTGTGCCCGGAGGAACTCCGCCCTGCGCTAATCCGTTCATCTGTGCAACAGCCTGCCGGAGGAAGCGACTACAAACTTCAACATATGGGGGTTGATCAAAAGGTTCTTTACATGGGACCATTGCCGAGAACCACAAAAAACATGATATTTCCCATGGGCCAAATTACCCTTGCTCATTTGGGGGCCGAATGGAATATTGATCAACCCCCATATTGATAAGCGTCTCACGAGGGTTGCGCGCTGACGACGGCTCAATTGCACTGCCCACACTCGCGCCTCTGGCTCCATTGCGAGGGAAAGCGTGAGCTGTCCCTCCTGAAACAAGCCAGCCACACTCTCTCTCTCTCTCTCTCTCTCTCGCTCTCTCACTCTCTCGCTCTCTCTCTCTCTCTCTCTCTCACTCTCTCTCCCCCTCCCTCAAACGCCACGCTCAGGCTATCAGCAAGAATGCAAGCTTGCTAGGAAACATCAAGCGCAGCCAAATGGTTTGAAGGACTTATCCCGCACATGCAAGCGGGCCGTGCCTGGCTATGAAGGAATGCCATGACGATCATGAAGCGGGAGAAATTCACAAACCTAGGGCGCGGATTCATCTCTTCAAGCCCTTCCGCAGCGCAACAGTGAGCGTGAATGTCTTCTGCATCTATGCTGCCAGCCTTCTCCACACATTGTGCCACATCGCATCTGAGATTGAGGCTCATCGAGCTCAATCAAGCCATCGCCATTATCGTCGAAAATGCTGGCGAAGCGCTTACACCTCGCATTGAGATGTGCTTTGCCTAGCGAGCTGGCTGAAACCCCCCACAGCGCTTCTCTTTTGCAGTTAGCCGTTTTTTTGTTTTTTTTCCGCGGCTCGGGAGCAGGCTGATCCAAGTCGAGGGCCATGCCTGAGCGGGATGCACATGCTGGAGGTGAATTCATGTTGCCAATGTGCGACATAACTGCCAACCATGTGCTGGTATTTCAAAGGCTTCTGTTCTGCGAAAAACCATGTTCTCTCTCCTGCGCTGGTGTGCTGGGCATGTTTGTTTTCTTTTGACAGACGCCGTCACACAACACTCATGCCAAAGTTGCATAAACAGGCTGGTAAGCTGGGGGTTTCCATTGAGTTTTGGAGCCAACAATCCTCAGTTGCATGATGATGAATCTTGAGTCCTTCCATACTCATATTTTTTCGACTCAGTACCTCATGCATGCATCGAGCCTATCGTTGCAAGCACTGATGTGCTGATGATGCTTTACATCAAGTGGAATGCAAAGGGCCAGGAGAACAAGTAAAACTCGGCTAATTTTGCCGTGCTTGGGTTTGTTCCCAGTTCACATGCAACATTCAAGATAAATGTGCGACATCAATGAACGCTCACTTGTCGCCAGCTCAACACTGAACTTGCGCACTCTGCATCAAGGCTGTGCTGCCCGGCTGTGCGAGTCGGCCATATTTTGGACCTGGCATCTTCAAGTCTCAAGAACATGGGTAACCCTCGGCGTGCTCTGGCACGTTTTCTCCCTGTGTCTTGGGCTAACGCTTGTCCCTTGCTGGGCTCATACTTGGCTCTGGCGGGTGAACACTTGGCTTGGACGCTTGGTTCTTACGGGGCTAATGCTTGGCTCTTGCCGGCTGCCCTCACCAGCCTAACACTTGGCTCTTGCAGGGCTAGTCGAGGAAGTTTAGAAGGAACTTCCGCTGTACGGACAGTTGTGCCAGGATGAATGCGACGCATGCGTGTGGGGGCGGGATAGAAATCGAGAACAAGAGTAAGAGTGACCCTCTGCGCTGTCTGGCGTCTCCGGCGAGCTGAAAGCTACCCCTGTCGCGACGCCTGACGGACGACTGTCTCGGTGCGGCACGGACGCGCGGGCTTTTCGTGACGTCAGCTGCTTGGCAGGCGAAGCACACTGGCGAGCCGAGGTAGTGGCAGGCGCAGCGTTTTGCCTCGTTGGAGTTCAGACTTCCACGGCAGGCGCAGCGCTTTCCCAGCCTGAGGAATGGGGTTGCTGAGGTGCGGCTGCGCGAGGCTGGCGCGAGTTCACAGATGTCGCGTACGTAGATAGATAAATGGACGGATGGAAAGATAGACAAACGGATCGGTAGATAGAGAGAGACTGATGGATGGATAGATAGATAGATAAACAGATAGACAGAGCGAGACAGTTGATAGATAGATAGACAGTCCTGTAGGTGGAGAGAAAGAAAGGGAGACAGAAAGAAAACAAGAAAGAAAGAAACGTAGATAAGGAGGAGATAGATAGAGCTAGATAGACTGCAAGATAGACAGATAGATCAGATAGATGAATCGAAAGATAAATGCGTGGGGAAAGGAGCTGTTCCAAGTCATGGGCCAGTGCCCTGGAAACAGGGTAAACACCCTTGCTAACAAGTTGGCCGGCTAATTAGCCGCTTGCTGCCCAAGGTTCGCTGCCAGATTTTGGTGAGGTGGCGCGGAAGGCTTTGAAGTCAGTCTTCACCTGCAATGGGTCGATGGCACAGTCCGAGATGGTCTCATCCTTCCCCCTGAAGACGTCCTGCTGTTTGGCAATGAGCTCTCACCTCCCAGCGGCGGTAGGCGAGAAGTCAACGCACACTCGCGCAGGCAAACAGTGGTCAAAGCAATCATCCATCGCGAAGAATAGGGGCCGGAGCAGTTCTTGCTACGGATCAAAGGCAGCTGGAGGTGCTTCCTGCTTGCCACCGTGCTGCGCAAAGGAAGGGAAGCGGTCTACGCAGCCCCTGGAGCGCTGTCGCTGCGCTTGGCTCTGCGCTATCAAGAGCTTTTGACCCGTTGGAGAAACAGGAGACGTCAGCTGCGCCGCCTCACGTGACGAAGAATCGACGGCGAATCAAGGGCGGGGTCATACTATGTGATTGGCGCTTTGCCGGGCTTGGCATATTCTAGGGGCAAGCGGTTCCGCATGCCATTGCGCAGAAGCACCTGCAATGTTGGTAGGCCGACATGTAGCAGTAAGGAGTTCCGCATGTTAGGGCAAGACGCTGTTTCTGGAAGCCCTCAGCTGGGGGGGGGTGCAGTATCTAGCCTTCCAGAAGCACTTCGTTGACTGCGACAGAAAAGCGGCAGCGCTAACGTGACGTCACCCTGAAATAAATCCTTTGGTCAAACGCTGCCTTGTGTTTCTCCCACGCTCCTTTCCTGGTAGGCAGCATCTGCTGTCCTCTAAGTCGTCCAGCGACCTAGCCAACGGAGAAACCGCGCCAGGGTGCCAACGCAAGACGTGTAGAGGCCGGACCATTTTATGTGGTGTTGTTTTCGTACAAGAGATCCCTGCGCTCATGCGCATTTCAGCTGGGCAGGCTCCGAAGCTGTCAACGCAAGGTCCACTTCACATCCTGGGTTGCGCGCGCTCATGCCAAGACTTCCCGTAGGAAGAGGATTGCCGCCCCCGCCCCTAAAGAAAAGCTCAGGAAGCTGTCCCCCCAATCGAAGCTGCAATGCAGGCCAAAGAAGCTCTTGGGTGGAGTGCCCAGCGGTGGGATGAAGTGCTTCTTGCCGGAGGTTCTGGCGCGGATCCATTGGCCACATTGCCCGGCAGAAAGCACAGCCGCCCCACGCCCACAGCTACAAAGTGAATCTTCGAGGAGAGCTTGACTGGTTGATCTGACGCTAGAGCGATCCGACCTACACAAAGTCCGCAGAGGGTTCGCGAATCGACCATTTCGGCGCGCGGTACCACGAGGGCGCACCCTCGAAAGACACCAAACCCAGCCCAGCACTGCGCGCGAGCTTGACACATTCTGCGACATATAGTCACGCAAGAAGACTTCATCGACCAGCTCCTCGTGGTCCCAAGGATGTTTGCGATGGCGCCTATGTCCTAAAGATACCGAGGAAATGTCGCGCGCATGACCTGAAAAAGGTTTGCCGTCTCTGATGACTCGACGCGCGTTTCCGTGTGGGCGTGATTCCCAAATCAAGCTCAAATTTGGACGGGGCGAATACTTGGCTCTTACGGGGCTAATGCTTGCCTCTTACGGGCTTGTGCTCTTAGGTGGGGTTGAGTTGGAGTGGAGTGTGGTGGAATTGAGGTGAGGTGTGGAGTTGGGTTGGGGTGGAGTTGGGGTCGAGTTGGGGGCGGGTGGAGTGGGAGTGGGGTGGGAGTTGGAGGCTGGGCGGTGGGGTTGGGGGGGTTGCATGAGGTGGAGCTGGTGGGGGCCAACGGTTGCCTCTTACGGGGCTGCTACTTGCCTCTTACGGGGAACTAATACGTGGCTCTCATGGGACCATAACTTCGCTCTTACAGTGGCAATGCTTGCTACTGCTTGGCTCTTATGGGGCTGTTACTTGGCCGAACATAAGAGCTGGGTGTCACAAAGCCGAGCCAAGTGTCCAAGAAGAGCCAAGTATCCAGCGCGTAAGAGTCTGAGAGCGTATGAGCCGAAAACAAGAGCTTGGTATTCCAACCATATTCTTGAAAGTGTCAACCCAACGTGCCAAACGAGCATTTCGAACCAGGCTTTTTTCAACGAGACCTATGCTCATTCAGCTCATTCCAAGGTTCGGGCCATTGTGAAGAGCTCCTCTGGTTCCAAAGTGCCGTTCCCATCCTGGGGCACTTTGGCGGGCCCGAAACTTGTTGAAAGCTCGTTGCAACCCACCCATTTGGGTGTTCCTAGGCAGACCCTTGGCTTCAAATGGCTTTCCTTTGTCCCCTTAAAACCAAAAGGCTCCCCAAAAAGACACACTCACTTCATGAATGAATCAAGCCACAACGCGAGAGTCTTTGGCCGACGCCTGGTCCAACTCCAAAAAAAAGGTTCTGCATTCCGTCACAAAGCGCTCACCTAAGATGGTTGTGAACATTGGCCCATATCTCACACGGCGCTCGGCGCTCGGCAAAACAACAAGAGCGTTCTCAGTTCCGTGCTCAGCAAATCCTGGCGCAGCCACTGGGGCAAGTAAGGAACCACCTGGCACGGTGGCAAAATGAGCTGCGCAACTCTCATGACTCAGCGGAAACTTGCGCAAACTTTGGACAAGAATGCAAACAAAGGCGTTTAGCGAAAGATTTGGCCGAAGAATCTGGCGCTGGTTTCTGAGCCAGGAATGACGAACACTGGACATGTCTCCGCGCTTTTCCATGCAACCTGTAGCAGTCCAGCGGGCATGCAGGGGTGTAACTCTCAACAATTTTCAGATCCGAGGACCCTGTACAAGCGCAGCAGTGCATTGTCGTGTGTCCAGTGGGGCTCCGTGAGCTGCTGCAACAAGCTTTGGGTTCGGAGTCAGACATGTCACCTGTGCACTTGCGAGGCTCACTTTGCGCTGCTCACCTGCAGTTCCCATGTGGGAGTTGCTTGTTGAAGCGCCCACGCGTGTCCAAAAGCACGTGAGGCCCCAGCGAGCTAACAAGGCGGCCGAAGAGCGCTCTCCTGCCAGACCCGGCAAGTCTCTTACGGGGAGTTTGCAGTTCCCACATTCTCCCCAAGTTAACAGACCAGTCATATTCCGGGTTCTGCACAAGCTCACCCGGGAAGCAACTTCGCCTGCAGCATCTTATTGAGCTGCGCAGCTGTCTCCAGGCAGCCAGCCATCTCCCCCCGGAAGTCCGACCTTAGGATCAGAGCACGCACTGCACTACAATTTGACTATCGGTTGGAGAGAGTAGGCCAGCAACTCTGAGGTCTTCTGGAGGATGAAGGACCGCAACGTGTAGAGCGTCCTTGGCATCCGAGGCCCTACAAAAAGATGTGGCAAAGGCTCTCTCTGTCTCAGGTTTAGGCTGACCAAACTGCCGGATTCTCTGCTCTTGCGCCTTGCAACCGCTAATCCCAACTGTGCGCTTACGACACGCCAGTTGCACTCCGCTTACGCACGTCTGGGGTTCAGCTCAATGTATCAATTTCACCGAAGTGAACACCCTGACTCCAATGACTCCAATGACTCCAAACGGAAGCTTCCGCAACTCCGTCCCATCGAATTCGGCCCATTCCTCGAGGCTTGCGGCCGTCTCGTCATCCTGCAGCTGCTGGCCTTGGCTTCAAGGCTTCGAATGGACGCTGAAATGCATTGGGATCTCCGACTCTCCGACCTCCCGAGCCACACTGCCGGACATGCGACACACCGCATTTTGTGTTTGCCTCACTGCCTCAAGCTCCCCAGCCCACGCGAACACAGTTCGAAGAAATGTCAAGGTTGCCATCTATCGCTGAAGACGCTCGTATTTCTGGACATGGCAACGCCTTTCCAAACAGGCCCTCTATGTCATCTCTGGCATAGCAGCAAGCAGCAACCTTTTCGCCAGTGGCTCTCAGATCTGGCCATCTGTTCGCCTCTGAACTCAATAGAAATTATGCCCTCCCATCCCGGCTTCCTTTCGCGCCATCATCATCTCTTGCCAATTATCGAAGAAGGGCGAGAAGGAGCTGTGGAACATCCTGTCGGTTTCAGTGATTGGCTGTGCAAACAATCTGAACACCTTTCGTTCGTAAGAGCCCCTTCTGGCCGACATATTTGTGAAGGGGATCTTAGCCTGATTCGTGCGACTCAAATGGGGATCCGTCCTCTGTACCTCCGCCTCGGTCTTTCTGCTGGCTACTTCTTTCGCGGTGTCGCTGTTCACGCAGGTGCAACGGTTGTCTGGACACCTTGGCAGGTAAGGGCAGCAAAAAACCCGACCTAGAAGGGGCCAGCATGCACGTGACGGGCTATTGCTTGTCAGGCTGCAATCCAGTCTTCGCCCGTTGTGCAGAACATCTCCAATTCCCAGAGGTAGTTGGGCAGTCGCTCTCGCGATTCCCTGAATCATTCTTCCGATTGCAGTGGCACATTGGCACGTCGTCCTGCAGTCAGTTTCCCTCTGAAGCGTGACAGCTCGGCTTCCCTGAACATGTTCACTGCCTTTCCTCAGACCCGGCCTTGGTGATGACACGACACTTCCACTCGGCTCCGCGGGAGGAAAGCACGTTGCTTGCATACATCCTCTCGCACTCGGAAGCGCTCCATGTCTCCTGGCCAAACTCGTTTCTCTAGTCTATGATTTTTGACTCTCAGCCCAATGCATCGCATGACAATGCAAAACACGTATTTATAGCAACCCTGTCCGGGTCGAACGCAGCGTACATATCGCCCACCTCCTCCTTCTCCACAATCATGCCATCATCCGGGTACAGTAGGCATCGAACTGCCGTGACGTCCGATGTGTCTTCCCACGCTGTCCAGCCAGGGGTCGCAGAGACACATTGATCGTAGTTCTTGGCTTTGCCTCGGATGTCGGAACCGCAACACCGGAGCAACAAAAATAACTTTCATCTGCGGCAACCTCCCTTAATCACCCTTTCTCTGGCCGAATGGCATGCAGGCATATCGCAGATGCTGAAGTCTCGCCATATCGCTGTGCGGCCCAACGACATGTGAGCTCGAGCATGTTTCATCTCCGCACAAATGCCTTCGGTGTCCAGCCGATCATGCCGATCATGCCGAGTACACCAGGCCGTCTTCAAGGCCAAGGCAAAGGCGATGAGCCGCATCGACATCGAGAACTTGACAAACAAAGAAGCTTCACACTTGGCTTGTGCCAAGAGGCTGCGAAAGAGCTTGACTTTCACGGTGCAAGGTCAACTTAGAGTCAACTTGCTGAGTCAACTTGCAGGGTCGTGGGAATTAGTGTTCTCACGTCCCAGATTGAGCATCCGAATTTGCCGGGAGTCGCAAGTGTAAGCCCCCTGCGCTTTCCGTCAGTTCGAAGGCGAAGAAAGTTCACCTCCGCAGTATGGTGCAAACACAGCACTGTCAACACGCGTGGCTTGCCTGCTGGCGCAAGGCCTGTGATCTCTCCTGGCCAAGAACCGGACTTCCCTACAAGAGAAAAGTACCCGGCCCGGCTCTGAGCACTGCCTCTGTTCACAATTTTCCCCCCAAACTCCCGATGAAACCACCATGTGAGGCACCCCATCTCCTCCAGGCCCTTCTTGGAGTCCTCCAACTTCTGGCTTTCCAAGGCGCCTGGCTCGTTGCTCACGACCCTGCAATCCGCGAAGCGATCTGCGAAATGCGACGCAAGACGGTCCCAGGTCTGCCTTGGGCCTTCATGTCGTCGATCTTGTCATAGCGCTCAGCGATTTCCTGACAGCAACCCTGCACATGGCACGGCTCCGGAGGCAACGAATGGCTCCTTCTCGTACTGCCTCATCTTTTCTTCCACCTGAGTGTTCTTTCGGTTCGGATTTAGAGCAAGAGAAGACCAATGTGAAAATCTCCTGTTTTCAGAAGCTTGGCGCACTCGTTTCGCCGAACCATTGGAATGGAGTCCGCGAAAAGGCTCTTACCCTTTCGGCCTGGGAGAGCTCCAGCGAGATTTTCACATCCAAGCTCTCGATCTTCTCCAGCTCACCCTCACCTCCAAGAAAGGCGAAAACCCAGTCCAGGCAAAACCCCGCTTTCCACTGGCCGACCAGCACGTGTCACGTGCCGAGCACCCGAGCCGAGCCGCACCCGTGCGCTTGGGGCCCTGGCGCTTCGCGAGCTCGGCCTCCAGGCGGCTCCTGGGGTTGGCCGATTCGCGTCTAGAAAGGATGCGGCTGGGAGCGCGGCTGCGTGGTTTCGGAGTTCTGCAGCTGGGCCTTCTTGAAGTCTAACCTGGCATCTCTCGCTTGCGACAGAAAAAAAAACAAGAGAAAAACAAATGCCAGGGGCAAGGCTCATCCTCCATGTCCCTGAGATGCGACTCAGGAGTGACCTGAGGCCCACGGGACATGCAAGGAATGCAACAGGCAAGCGATTTCTTGCGACTTGCTCAGCACCGAGCGTCTGGAGGAAGCTCTAAACTCTTGGAAATGATCAGCTGCAAACGCTCGATGCTCTGGCAGGCAGGCGGGGATGCACAGTTACCGCAGGTTGCTCACCGGAACAAAAGATACAACGAGCAAATACCGCAACAGCCAAAGAAGCAATGGCCAGTTGAGTCAGGGTGCCTCCTGCTTCTCTTTGATCTTCTTCTCCTCCTCTGCCTCTCACATGGGCCGCTTCAAGATCCGACACGGCTGCTCTTGAGCTGTGCGTCAGGCGCCTTGGCTTCTGCGAAGCCTTCAATGAAGGCTGTCATCTCCTGGTCCTGGAGCAGGGAGTGGAAATAAGTGATGTATTTTGCGGCAACCCATGCGTCAAGTTACGCGGCTTTCGAAACTTCCGCCCTATATACAAGGAGCATGCAGATTGCCCGACAAAACATCTCTTGCGCTGCGGATCCGGCCGTTACATTCAAGTCTCCCGTCAGTTCTCAAAAGAAACACACTTTGCCAAGTTATCCAAGAAAAAGGTCAGACTTCCCCTTGATACATTGTGAATGTCTTGAATGGTGGGTTTCTGAAGTTTGGTCATTCTGATAGCCAGTTCCGTCCAGTCGCTGGGCTAGATTGCTTCAAAGGAATGGGCAGGCGGGCTGGACATCGACTCTGTCCTTCGTGAAGAGGATTTCATACTTCTGCTGATCGCTGCTCTCTTCCTGCGCGTGAGTGGCTCAACACGTTGCGGGAGGGTTATGAGTTCTGGCCAAGGGAGTTGTGAACTCCAAATACACAGGCAGGATCCGGCACACCGGACTTATGTTGCTAGGCATTCTGCCTAGTGTGCCCAAGGATCTTGCTCTCATCAACTTTCATGCAATTGACCGTTGCTTTGTCCTTCTTCTCCTCCACGTCGGCTTGGACCTGGCCAAACTTTCAATGCGAGTCACACACTGGAGTGGAGTTTGAGGACACAGCCAAAGGGTGCCGGCACATGCACAGCAGGCACAGCAGGCACAGCAGGCACAGCGCGCCTCCCGGATCTGGGCTCGCAGCCGCTCCATCTCCAACTTCATCTCACCTCTGCGAATCAGTGGTCTGATTTAGGGTTTAGGGTCTCACCAACGTTGGTCTCACCAACGTTGGTCTCCAATGGTCCACAAAATTTGGTGCCCGAAGGGGTGTCGATCAGCTCCCGGCTGTTGGACTTCTCGGTGGCCACAATCTCTTGATTGTCGTTCTTCACCTATGCTATGCAACTTCTGCTTGACCAAATTTCGCCCAATGGCCAGCAACTTGTCGGTTGGAAGATCGAATCGTGGCTTTCCAAGCAATGGTGCCATGTGGGGAACCCTTTTTTCTCACCCTCCGAAGTTGTTTCTTTCACCCTTCCCTGTTTTTTTCAACCGTTCACCCTTTCAATTTAACCCTCCCCCCGTCTTGTTTAACCCTCCCCCCTTCTTTTTTAACCCTCCCCCCTTTCTTTCTGACCCTCCACCTCTTCCTTTCAACCCTCCATTTCTTTTTTGCCAACCCTGTGGCCGACGCCTGTGGCAACTGCACTAAGCAATAAGCAACGGTTTAGGGTTGGGTTGGTTTTGGAGTGGTTTTGAATTTAGGGTTGGCTTAGGGTGGTGGGTTTAGGGTTGGTTTCGGATGGGAAGGGTGGATTTACGGTTTTTTGGGGTAGGATTAGGTTTGTGTAGGAAGGGTTTAGAGGCGGGGTAGGGTTTGTTGAGGGTGGGTTTAGGGTTGGTTTGGGATGGAAAGGGCAAGTTTGTGGTCGGTTTAAGTTTAAGGTTGGTTTCGAGCAGGTCTGTGCTGGGTATATGGTGGGTTCAAAGTTGGATGAGGGTGGGTTTTTGGCTTGGAGAATGGGTCTACAGTGGGTTTATGATTGGTTTAGGGTTCGTTTAGGATGGATTTAGGGGGTGGGTTTAGAATGGCTTCAGGGTGAGGTCAGGGTTGGGATAAAGGTTGGTTTTACATGGTGTTAGTTTAGGGTGGGATTAGGGCTTGTGTCGAAAGGCTTCAGGGTGGATTTTGGGTGGATTTAGTGTTGGCTTGGCATCTGTTTGAGGTGGGTTCGGGTGTAGGTTGACTTAGAGCAGGATTTCGGTGGGTTTGTGTTTGGTTTAGGTGGTCTAGAGTAGGTCTGTGGTGGCTGTAGGGTTAGCTTAGGGTTGGTGTAGGGTTGGTTCAGGGCGGGTTTGCGGTTTGTCTATGTAAAGGGTGGCGTTGGGGTTGAGCTAGGGGAGGCTTGGGGTCGCTCAAGGGTGGCTTAGGGTTGATTTGGGGTGGCTTGATTTCAGGTGGGCTTAGGGTTTTTAAGGGTATGTTGTTCGTTTGTTTTGGGTTGGATGTAGGTTGGTTCAGGGTTGGTCTGGGTTGGTCTGGGATGGTTTAGGGTGGGGTTTGCGGTTGGTTTAGGCTTGGATGTGGATTGGTCTCGCGGTTGGCGTAGGGTTGGCTTCACTGGATTTAGGGTTGGGTCAAGCTCAGCTTAGAGTCTCAGGGTGCGCTTAGAGTTGGATCAGGGTGGATTCATGGTTGGTACAGGGTGGGCTTATGGTTGGTTTAAGGTTGGTTTGGAGTTGCTCAGGGTTGGTTAGGGTTGGTGTAGGGCTGGCCCAGGTTGGTTTTTGAGTTTAGTGTGGGTTGCTTTTGGGCGAGTTTAGGGTGGGGGCAAGGTTGGTTTAGGGTTGGTTTTTGCTAGGCTTGAGTTTAAGGTTGGTTTTCGGGGTGGTTTGGGAATGGTTAAAGCTGGGTTTAGAGTGGGTTTAGGATTGGGTTAGGATTGGCTTAGGGTTGTTTTAGGGTTGAGGGTTGGTTTTGGGTCTGTGGGCGTGTTCAGGGTTGGTTTAGGTTGACTTGGGGTTGCGTTAAAGCTAGATTAGGGTGGGATTGGGGTTTAGCTGGGTTTAGGGTGGGTTTATTGTTGGCTTAGGCTAAGCTTAAGGTGTGGGGTGGGATTACGGTTGGATCAAGGTTCGGGCGGGTTTAGAGTTCGTGTAGGGTGGGTTTAGGGTGGGTTCAGGACTGGCTTGTTGGTTTAGGGTTGGTTTAGTTTGTTGATTTAGGGTTGGTTTAGGGTCGGTTTGGGATTGGTTACGGGTGGGTTATGTATGCTTTCGGGTGGTTTCGAGTAGGTCAGTGGTGGTGGTGGGTGTAGCAGTTAGAGTAGCCCTTGCCCATCTTTTTGTGGTACCCGAGCGTGACCCCCACCCTACGCAAGAACAGCATTTTTAAACCATTTTTTCACTATTCAAATCGTCATCCTTATTCATTATGCATATTTCCACTCAAACCATTTCATAACAGTCTCAACCTCAAAATCCATCCAAAAAGTTACATTTTTCTCATTTTCTATTCCATCATTCTTGTCATTGTTAGGATGCTTGAGTGGAAATAGGAGTATAGGGTGGTTCATATGATATGGTTATTGATGGTAGGATGCATGGGCAAGGTTAAGCTCATTCATAAAAAAAAATCAAAAATAATATTTTCAAAAAAAATAATATTTTCAAAAAAAATTAATATTTTCAAAAAATATATTTTCAAAAATAATATTTTCAATAAAAAGTAATTTTTCAAAAAATAAATTTTCAAAAATATTATTCCAAAATTTATGACAAATTATCTTACAATATTTTTATCATAATTTTTTGTAGAAATATTATGGGCAAGGCTATGTTCATTCATTAAAAAAGAAACACAAAAACCAATTTTATAGAGTATAACTATGGTATAATGAAAGGTTATAAAGTTTTACAATGTTAATTTATATTATAATAACATAATATAAATAAACTGTCGCCCCAAAAAAGGGGGAACCCCACCTAATTTCAAGAAAAACATGCTGTTTTGTCGTTGGATTATTATCTATGAATAAACCCCCGTATCTTCATCATAGTCAATTTGATAAAATGTCATAGTTGAAGCCTTCGGTTCTTTAATTTCTTTGTTATTAAGTTTGTTTAAATAAATATTTCTTTTATTTTTATATTCACCACCGGTTCGATCTATTTCTTTACTTTGATAATTGTTTGTTAATGGTTTCTTCTTCTCCATTTCTTGCAAGATTTCTAAAATATTCTTATTCTGTTCTAAAACCTTGTTCAGTTTTTTGACAATCTTTTCTAATCCTTCATCCATGTAAATATATATTATATTATAAAATAAAACTTTTAAAACTAAACTTTTATTTTGCAAAATCATATATCATTATAAGTCAATTCAAAATTAGTTATTGTGTAACTCGTTAAATTATTATTCAATTTACCAATTAAATTACAAATAATAGTTTTTCTATATTTTGAATATTTATGAAATTTTTCAATATTATTTGTAATATAAATTATTAAACATTTAATACATTCAAACACATTAACAACATTAATGTTACTATTTTTGTAAATATTATTCATTTTTCTCAATGTAATTTCATAAAACTGAATAGCATTTTTATTATCATAATTAGCAATAAATCTTAAAGTATATGAATATATTCTTTTACAATAGAATTTTAAATCTGATTGTTCAAATAAATCAGCATAATTAATAGAATTATAAAACATGTTAAAATCAATTTTATTATGTCTAAAGTCATTAACAAAATTAATTAATATATCATTTTCATTATATTCTTCAATAAAATTATTTAATTTCAATTCTTTTACATCAATGAATTTAATAACATTATTTATAACATCTTGCATTATAAATAATAATACAAATAATTTTAACTATTATTTTTCATCATTTCGCAAATAGTTTCCTGAGTTTCCTTATCACCATTATCGGATGGTGATGCATGCCGTCCCCATTTGATAGCGATATTATGAACATCTGTTTCTAAGTTTATACTGTCTTTAGTTTTATCAATATTCATTTTCTTATCATTCTTACTTATTTTGAAACTGGCTGGAATAAACGAACATTTACAAGTTCCTTTCTTTTGTATTTCTAATTCATTTTTTAATTCTAACATCTTTTTACACATTGGACAAGCAAACTCAATAACTGATGTTTCTTTAACAATTTCTTCTTTTTCTTCATCAGTTGAAGAAACAACTGGTTCAGTCTTATTCTTTTTCTTTCTTCCCATTTATATTAATATTTACATTTTTATTTTTGATATATTGTATCACAAACTTAATTATTTCTAAAACAAAATAGCATATTTCTTGCATCTATTATCAGTTATAACAACTTGTTCTAAATTCTCTACTTCATCTATTATATCAATATAATCTGAATAGCTTCTATTCATATAAAATAATAAATATAAAATATTTTCTAAATAACTTTAATATTATTTTATTATGTCAGATGTTCCAATAATAAAGCCAATAAACATAACTGAATATGAATTCAAACAATCTAAATATGAGCACGTGCCAAAATTACCATTTAGAAGTATTATAGTTGCGAGTTCGACAGGTGGCAAAACAGTATTGGTTCAGAACCTTATCTTAAATGTTTATAGAAATTCATTTGCAAGAATATTTATATTTTCCCCCAGCGTTCATAATGACCCAACTTTTACAGAAGTAAAGAAATATATTAGGGATGAACTACATGTAGATGATGAAAAAGAACAAATTTATTTTGATAATTATAATCCAAGTGATTTAGAAAATGTAATCGAAAGACAGAAGAAAATAATTAATTATATGAAATCTAAAAAAATAAAGAAACTACATTCAATATTAATCGTTATAGACGATCATGCCGACGATCCTAAATTTGTTAGATATAGTAAATTATTACATGGATTATTTACAAGAGGCAGGCACGATGCAGTAAGTGTGATTTGTTCAACACAGAAATATAATGTGTTGGCGCCTCTCATTCGTTTAAATGCCAGTTCATTATATATTTTTAGGTTGAAAAATGCCAGTGAATTAATGAGTTTTATTGAAGAAAATAGCGCCATTGTTGACAAACAGCAATTATTAGATATGTATCATCAAGCCGTTAATTTTGCTCCATATTCTTTTTTCTACGTGAATATGAATTCAAAAGACATTAACAACATGTTTCATATCAATTTTGAACAGGCATTTCAAATTACAAATGATGAATAAAGATATTCTAATTTAATATAATATAATAATATGCTAATGAAACTATGTAGATGTGGTGGATTTTATCGTAGAGGTAATTATAATTTTCATACTAATTCTTGGATACACAAACTTTATAAAGTGTTGAAAAGAAGGGCAACAGACGAGGAGTTATTAA